CATCTTTGTCACCCGTAGTGAAGGCCAAGTGTTCTAGATGTTCCATAAATATATCAGCCAGAGCAAAGGAGAGAAGCGATCCCTTAGGGATTCCTTTGTACTGACGATATAATTGGCTACTGAACTGAAAGTAATTGAAACCGATGAGACAGGTCTTGAGTAGCTTGAGAATCGAGGTTATCGAGAAAGGTATTTTGTTTTTAAGGTCAAGGTCTTCTGTAAGTTGTTCTTCGACCAGGTCGATTACAATATCGATAGGGATGCTGGTGAAGAAGTCATTTACGTCGTAGCTCACCATGCTTTCATCGTTGTCGTTCAATCGTTGAACAATCTCTTGGATGAACTTCTCTGAGTTCTTTACACAAGATTTTAGCTTACCGGTGTACGACTGAACGGTGGGGCGAACCAGTCGTGCGACCAAAGCCGAAATACAAGATGATGCGACAATAGATTGCACAGGAATATTTGGCTTGTTGATCTTTGGTAAGCAGTACAGCTCAGGAACAGACCAACTGCATTTGTAGCGAAGTTTCAACAATATGTCCTTTGCTTCGTCAGCGGCCATTTCGTTGTTCCTTTCCATAGTTGTTATCACTTTTTTCAGGGACTCTGTCAACCGTCTCATTGGATCTTCCTCTAGCAAGCCATTGCCGTTGTTAAGCAGTTCTGCACAGCTAGCGATATATTTCTCTTTATCTATGACCACAGTTGCGTTTCCTTTATCTGCTTTCATTATGGCGATGTTTCATTATGGTGTTGCCATCTTTCTCCAGTTGTTTTAGGGCAGTTTGTTCAGACTTAGATTGGATCCAGTAATTTGAAACTTTTGAAGTTCGACAGCAGCTAATTTGGCGAAGTCTCAGATGGCTGTCTGGTGATTTATCAGATATGCTCGTTCAATCGATGTCGCAATTTCGAGAACTGGCACTTTATCTGGAGCAGGGGCAAAATTCAAACCATTGGAGAGAACGGACTTTAGATCTTCTGTCAAGTCAAGTCATGCCATGTAACTATACATATATTTATAAAGCAGCATTCTATACAGTACGCAAATCGACAATTGTACAAGGCTGCTTATGGGCAAATGCAACCGCAGAGCAGACACAGCATATCTACTAATGAAATGCTTTGCTTGTGAGGCGTTAGTCACACTAAAAACAGAATTGTGGCCTAATTATTTATAACGTAAATAGCTTGTCTGTCGGAACTACAGACCAATACATGTCCAGTAGCAAAGCGGTGATGACATGCGCTATGAAATGGTATTTTGGAAGTGTGCGATACACTACCGTATATGGAAGATACAAATTAATGTATCTAGTGCTTAGATCGCACGTGGTACACATCAATTAATTAGCGCTGTTTTACAAATGGCATTTACACTGATGAACAGAAATGCGGTATAATTATACGCATAGCAATTCTCGATTTTCGCGGTGCGAAATCAAGCGGTCTGCAGGCTGGTTACTGCACATGATACTGTCTACATGCACATGAAGAACGGCATTTTGTAACAGCACAACATTTAGGCAAATAAGAACAAAGACATTGAACCATAGAGCCATGGTGTTACGCGGAACTTTGAATAATATACATATACCACCACATCCTTAATTTAAGTTATTTATGGAATCCTGTTATTTTATTCATTCACGCCTTTCATTCCTTAAAGCTATTATATACACTAAAACATGACTCACCTTCAATGATGTTTTTCGTTTAATGCTCGGACGCCGCAACATCTGCATCGATGATGACGAGCTGGCCATCTCCACAGTGGGTAAAACGTTTTCGAGATGTGAATTTTTTGTCGTAGCGTTTGAATTCTTAAAAACAACGGTTAAAAAGGGATAAAAAAATATTATTTTGAATCTCCTACCAAAATGCGTTTAAAAATACGACACGCATCAAATTTAAGTTGCTTAAAAGTTTAAGGCTGGTGCCCAAAAAGCTAGTCCGTTCACATTTTATGTTTCAAGACCTGTGAATTACCGAAAATGAACCTGTACTTACTTCGGCTGTCTCGTCGCTATGGTGTTCTTCAGCGTTTGGGCTAATGACTGATTTTAACGAAGCAACGGTCTCTGAATAAAAGGCCTCGTTCGCAGCCGTTTTCTCAACTACATCAGCTTCTTCCTTAAAAGCAAAGAAGTTTCAAAGGAGACACGCTTAATTCTCGAAAGTTCGTGATTTCGTTTATCAATACGACTCAGTTCATAGACTATATCTTATCATTATGATGCTTCACTATACTAATTTACTACCTCTGTGGATATGCAACGGTTTCATTTAGAATGACTTGGAGACGGCAGCATTAATTAAAATTGAAAGTAGACTAAAGCAGACTGAAGGAGACATAAAGCAAAGTCTAAAGAACAATTTTCAGAGTGAAGTGGTACGATCTCGTGTTGTAAAAAATGATGAAAAATTCCCAATAAAATCATTGATGAGCTGTAAACAAATAGTTTGAGATTTTGGAGTCATTTCCAGCGAACGGGCGATAGCCTCCTTGCGAAGCGAATGATGAATGCAAAGCCTACTGGCAAACGGCTGCCAGGAAGACCTTCAATAAGACGTAAAAATCTAGTTTTAACTGACATGGCAAGAAAAAATTGAAGAATGAGTTCACAGTTAATTTAATTCAAGTGGAACGCTTGTACAACACACGTCGTCTTAGACGGAATAGGATAAAAAGAACTTTACTTCCCCCAGTATTATCCGAAGGGGAATCTCTCTGGAATTATGGAAAACAGGAAGAAAATAATGTAAAACAAGTCTGCTACTGAATTATACTTCTGCAAGCGATCAAAATAACTGTCACGGCCTTAACCATAAATGTATTTGAATAATTACATTTTCGAACATTTCGTTGTCGTCGCTTATGTTCATTATCACCATATCTATCAGCTGAGTGACGCAGAAAACGATGTCGGATTCAGTATCGCCATTCTTGTAACTCGTTTGTGTTCTCGACGACGGTAAAGTGTTCGAGGTTTCGGCCAAGCTTGTTGCAGTATCCACTTCAACAGCAGGAGAGCTTTCGCTGATTTCCTGTTCCTGCAAAGTTCACTTTAAAAACTCGCTGTATTGGCGACTAGCAACTACCGAAAATGGTTAAACAAAAAATCTATTAAACGTCCTAAATTTAAACGCGGATACTCTAAGCGTATGCATGCTCCGTAAAATATGTCAGATTCATTTCAGGAAGACTGCTGTGAGCAGAAATTTTCTGATACAATTATAATAGGTATAAGCATGATTGAACAACCAAAAATCACTGGTTCGGATGCCAAAAATCACGGTCGCGGAATCGCATTACTGTGTGGTGCTTTCAAATAAATTCATATAGTTTTGAATTTTCTTTGTGCTTATAACTACTGTATTTTGAAAATTTTGTGTAGAGAATCTAATGGTGGTTTAAATATCTTAAACAATATTTCAAGCAGAACCGTAATTTTTCGTTTACATTTTTGGCACAGCTAGTTTACAAAAGCCTTAAGTTAAATTGGACTACCCAACTTTTGGCGGCTATAACTAACTGCAACTCATAAACCGCTGTCTAGGAAATAAATATCTGTTGCAGGTCTGTATCTGACTTTTCGAATCATGACACTACTTTATTACTTCTCTATTCTAATAATATGTAAACGAACGTCTACGTAGGTGCTGTGAGATGGCAAAGGTCAGAAAAGCAGCCACCTGGCAACGGAGCGAAAATTCAGCATGCTGACGGTTTTTCGCAGAGTGGCTTGAAAAAAGTAGCCCAATAAATGATTTTAAGATGTTAAATTCTTACAGATGCTAGGGATATACGGACATCTTTTATTGCTTACGTTTTTCTACACAATAG